GATGGATGGATGGATGGATAGTTTTAAGTTAATATGTTGGTCAATTTCAAGTTTGACTTTGCCTCAGAAATAATCATTGCTTCATAAACCTCTGTGTGAGCGTGTGTGTTTTATTTATTTATTTTTAAAGTACCGATTTAAATACCGTTTAGGAACCGGTACTGTTTTGAAAGTATCGATTTACCAGCRGTATCGAAATAAACCCTTTCAATACCCAACCCTAACTGTGTTAATTTTCTTAAATATAAAAGTTTCCTTTGACTTTTTGTATTTGAAGGATAAGCATGTCACGGGCCCATTAAAACAAAAAGAATAATCACAATATGTACCATTTCCATTCAGGAGAACAACAAACAGCTCATAAATCTGTTCTGGAATAGCAAGCCAATTTCAGCTTCAAACTTCCATTACATTCCTCTTTGTGGGATTTTTTTTATTTAAAGATGAGTTAGTAAGYAAAAGAAATTGACTTGCTCTTAAGACAAAAAAGCACAAACATGTATCATTTTTATCCARCAGAGAGCTTATGAACAGGAAATGAGGCATGCTGCCGAGGAGAGGCTTTAGTAGCATCAGCCTGATTCCTTCACATACCAAGTAGTTATTGCTGCACTGGGGTTTAAAAATCTCAATCAGCTTGTAAAAACCACACACCAATTCTTAGCTCAGTCTCTGTAAAATGGAGCTAAAGATTGATGAGCTCTGGTGGCCATCTTGAATTGGACTGACTCCAAGCATTGAGCAATTACTCTTACCTCGTACGTTCAGTCCGTTGTCACAGGCATACTGTGCAAAMGGTGACATGTAGTTGGGGTCGTACGCCAGAACGTGGGCTTGCTCTGCTATGCTGCGCGCCGTCTGCTGAACGCTCTCATAGTTGGTGTTCTGATGAACAAAAAACAAAGCAGGCCTTAAAGCTTCAGTCCTGATTTCACCCCAGCAGCAGACATGTCGGGGACTCACCTTGAGTTTCTTCAGCTCTTGCAGAATCATATAGTCAGGCATGTTGTCAAACAGCCCGTCGGTGGCGGTGAGGATGATGTCACCCAGCTGCACGTCAAAGGAGGAGCTGTCCGCTGCGTCAGGGCTGCAGGAGCACATGAAAGAGATGTCAGGCGTCAGGCAGGGGATGCAGGAGCTCTGCTGCTCTTCTGCTCTAGAAAGTCTGGTTACTAGTCGCAGTGTGACATTTACAGCTGCAGTATAGCTTAGAAAAACCATCAAGAAGAGCACATGTGCAGAGTGAGGATAATTTGAGGAATCGTCACATGGCAGCTTGGACAGAACCGTCAGTTCTAATAAACAGATACTAYATTACAGCAGTGAGCGCTACAAATACACAGCTACACAGGTTTGCTTCTTGGAAGATCCCCACACCCACACACATCCAGTCCTCAGTGTAATTCATTATCAAATGTCTGGACCACATCAGAACAGACCGAGCCAAAGTTCCCAGGAACACCCCGTTCTGTGCAGTGATTTCTGTAAAGAGTCGACCTCAGCTCTCAGAGAGATGAGACAGTTCCATGACGAATGCATTTGTTCCTCGTTATCATTACGAGGCTGTTAATGACCACAATGCCAGCAAGACAAACACTTCAGATGATTCCTCACACATATCTCCAAGTAGAAATGTGATAATCAGCCTGAAAAGTCAAAGACTTTGGCTACAGCTGAAGCACAAGCAATTCAAATAAATCTCATCCTCCCACTATTTCCCCACAAAATGCCTGAAGTCATTGTTTTTCTCAATCCATAAGTCTGCTTTAAAATGTAAAACTGTAGTAAAAACAGGAATGTTGTTTACAGACTTCAGCTCTGACCCTTGCTCTCTTCTACTGGAAGCTTAATCTGCTGCTGTAGTCCAGAAACTCCTGAATATTCCTCGATTTAATGACTGAAATCTTTCCGTACTCCCTGTGACTCGCAGCTCACTTGACTCCACGTCTAACCCATTTCCTGAGGAGCACTTTCAGGAACCTTAAACTAATCTGGCAGATTTAAAGAGKACMGAGTGAAAAGGTGGTGGAGCCTGCTGGCTCTGGTTTGGCTGGGGACTCCTGGTTTTGGCCCATCGGCCTGCACAGACTTTGACCTGGGTAAGAGGGAAAGCTTTGCAAACATTCTGAGCTCTGCTGACGTCTACGGTGCTGCTTGGCACGCTGCAACAACGAGACACGGCAGCACGTGGGCCCTGACCCACGGCAGCTCACCTCCGTCACAAGATTCACAAACTGTTTACAGGTTGTAAATACTTTGGTCATTCTGCAGTGAGTTTCTGATTAAAAAAATAATCAAATGACCTCTGACAGCTCAGAGCAGTTCATGCAAACAGTTTCTAAACTTTTCACAGTTATTGTTTTTAAGCTCATAACTTCATGGTTCTGAAGCAGAAAAATCCACAGCAGCAGTGACACATCACACTCCTGAGGTCCTGATCAGCAGAAATTCAATATTTCAGCCAGACCAACAGTACACTGTCACTGTGGGTCTATTTAGACTGCATCCAGCTGAAAATGGATACTTCAAATGAAACCTCTTCTAAAGTGGATTTTTGCTGCAAACAGCTCAGATTTTGCAGCGATTCAAACCTTTACAGCTCGATCCATTTAGCATTTTGGCAGAAATAAAGAAACGCTGTTGGGTTTGATCCCTGGATGCCTCAGAGGTTCCACATGTTGCTACTGTGGTTACTATCCACACAACCACGAACTGAGGAACTCACTCGTAAATGTTGATATAATAAACATTTGCACAACGCTTGAACTTTTACAAATTAAAGTAATTTTAAGATGACAGCAATACACTTTGATCCTAGCTGTGGTTCGACTCAGTCTGGTCAGATTAAACAGTTTCTTTAATGTACAACAGGTAAGATATTCATTATTTATCATTTGTTTTACACAGAAATCCATTTTATGGCCAAACTGTTCAGTAAAGGGCCTGTGACATGAATATCCTTCAAATACAAAAAGTCAAAGAAAACCTCTTTATGTTTAAGAAACTTGGCATAATGCACATGATTTAACCCATTTTGTCACATAATTGACACATTTTCTTTTGAACTTGGCTCATCCAAAGTGAAACAGGAAGTGACATCAAAGGGGAACTCTTTAAAAAAATGAACTCTCTGGTCTTTGTTTATAGAAACTAAATTACTGAACTCTGACTTTTCTTCATCTCTCTCTGATCGGGACTCAAAATAATCTTAAACATCAGCAGCTTCTCTACAGTCTGTGTTGTTAGCTGCTGTAACAACGCTCTGTTCATATTCAGACATTCCCCTTTGACATCACTTCCTGTTTCTTCACATGTGAATATCTCAACAACTGTCTCGGTGGTGTGAAATTTATTTTAAAATATGTTATTAATGTTAGCTTTCCAAAAATGCATTCATATTTATTACAAAAATTTCATGTCACAGACACTTTAAAAAGACTTGGACTAAAATGTCTTTGCAAGAACGGGTTTTCAAACCAATAAAACCAAGATTAATAAAAAAATACATCTTTGTAAAATCTGTGTGGCATAAAGAGAAGATCACAGATTACAGTCAGTTTATCAAACATGAAAAAAAGGAGTGGACTCACCTGTCACTCAGGACAGCGCCCTCAGCCTCAGGAGGAGCGATCGACAGCTGGAAGGGGGTGTTGAAGTAGTGCTGCTGCTCGTCTGAGCGGTGGACCACCTCTCCACCCCGGACCACGAGGAACCCCGAGTCCCCAAGGTTGGCCGTGTGCAGCTGGTGACTCTGTCGGTCCAAAATCACAATGCAGGCCGTGCTGCTGCCTACACACACACACACACACACACACACACACACACACACACACACACACACACACACACACACACAGTT